TTAATGAAAGTGATATGGAAGTGTTAAATTCAGATATCAAGCCTGTAACCTATGTATTGACGCAAAATCTACTGAATTGTAGCTCAGTAATCGATTAAATTAGAGTTTGACTTGAAACAAAAACAGAGAGGGGAAGATACAACATTACTATAATTGGGGATAGCTATTATTTCTCATGTCATACTATTGAGTTTTTGTTTATAAACTGGTAATGTTGAGTTAGAGAATGCACCGTCCACGTGATCAAATTCAGCATCGGATGCGTGAGCATTGTGGGGCGGGTGGCGCCATCTATAATATCCACGATGTTTGATATATTGCCAAGCAGCTCTACCACTTTCTATAAATACAAAAGTAAGAGTCAATCAATGTTTCATTTATGTCCTTTTGAGAAAAAAAACATTCTGAAAAAAAATGTCTAGATACTGAAATAAAAACTGAACGCTTATATAATATTTGTGAAATAAAACGTTCTTTAATTTGTTGACAGTGATTAAGATAAATCTTTTAAGCGGAACATATAAATGTACCTCAGAATATCTCTAGATTAACATGTCATGCAAGCATGGATTAATCTAAAATAATAAAAGAATGAGGTCTTTAAGTATGATAAGATGAGAGAGAGAGAGAGAGACTTAAAATGACCATATTCGTGAGGCAATTTTCGTTTCTGAAAAAAACTCTGAGTTATCTCCTGTGAAAGTTGTAAGGACCTAAGAATCATATGAATCATATGGCTGCCAGCTAAGTGGGGTATTGTCCGTGTTGTCACGTGTTCAGGTTACATGACCTGTTTACCTGTGTTATGATATCTACCTGTCAGGTATTTATACTTACTGGTGTAAATATAGCGGTGATTTAAACTTTTGCTTTGTTTACTATTGCATATTAGCTCACTTTATCAAAAATTTGAATAAACATGTACATGTAGTACATATATTAAACCTTAAAATAATCTATTTCAAAAACAAAAATACGCAGATTTGTTTAATTGTGCCATTAAACATGGAGATAACAAAAATTTTCAAGCTCAAAAATTCAGTGAATCAATACAAATTGGAATGAGAGAAACACGGACTTCTAAAACATCAGACATGGGATTAGGTACCATGGAGCATCCCTTGTCAATATTTCACACAGCGTCCATTTGCTCTTTGTCGGTCATTAATTAATTGATAGTATTGATGTTAAACGTCTCTTTCAAGAAAATTTCCTTTATATGGAGACGCCATCACTTGTTTGTGGAGAGCTTAACATTTTGTCCTATATTCGGCACTCAGGGCCATTGAGCAGTGAACGATCTTTTTCGAGCCAGCACCTTCTGCGACACAGGACCTCCGTTTATACAGTCTCATCCGAGGGACCGAACTCTACGTCTCACGATGGGATTTGGACCCGCGACAAGAGGATCAACTCTTTACTTTGCGACTCAAGAGCAGACTCTCTAACAACTACGCCACGCAGGCGACTCGGTCAAAAGAATGGTACATAAAAAACAACATGCTAAAAAGGTCATTGTACATATGTATCTCCCATGAAACTCTAAATCCTAACAAGACTGTTATTATTTTCTACATGTTTCAATACTTTTAATATTATTCATTTTTAAAAGCTTACAAAGCGTCTTCAGTCTAGATCATATAGATCCCTTAATGCAGCAAGAAGTCTCTGATGAGACTTTAGCTCTAATGGTCTGTAAGTATAACACAAGGCAAGTAGCACTTTGATTTGAAACTTTGCAACAGACAGCAATAAATAGAATTATGCATCTTAGTGTTGTCTAATTGTATGTCAGAGATACCATTTAAACGCGTCATTCCTTTATATAAACAACTAAGTACACATTGGTGACAAGGAAGACTTAAGTGTTTAGACTGTGAGTGTTTGTTTACCTAATTTTCAAAATATTAAACAAGAAGGTATATTTTTATAAATAGTTATTGCTAAACAAAATTCATGACGATTTTCTTTTGAGCCTAGTCCTTATATTTTTAAAAAATCATTTATGGGTAAAGGGGGACCATGGTCCCTCATTGAAACATGGTCTAATTATTAATGTTAAATTTTATTTTGTATTTGCCGGCGTAGATATTTCAGTATGTAAAAGGAACCATTTTCAAATACCCTTTTTCGCAATCTTTTAATCATATTCATGTATATACATGCATGTATTTGTACTTCATTTTCCAAATCAATGGTAGAAATTAAAACAATTGTTTTGATTAACCTTGAGTTATAATGGCATTAACCTGTTTGTCCAAGTGCGTCATCGGTGCACAACGTGTTTATCATTACCAAAGGGTTTCGGAACGTGTATCGATTCTTTTCTTTTGTGTTTTTGATGTATTTGAATAAGCTGTGATATATATGTTTTTATTACATTCAGACTTTAAATCTTTAAACGATAGAGAGGTGAATTTCAATGCCCCTTGGTCAAGGGTACCATAGGGGGGGGGGCTTTACTTATATACTGAAAATTTAATTGATTGAAATCTTCTCCTTTCTAAATCAAACATAGGATGTGTGGACCAAGGGTCATTTGAAAGGTTTTACGAACCTATTGTTGAGAATAGTATACTATTTGACAATCATTCGAGCAAAGATTTTAAATCAGAGAACTAGCAAGTACAGTCTGCTCAAAATAGTGCAAGCATATGATTAATGTAATTTTTTTTTAATTCTTAAAAATAAACATTTTAGTTAATGCGGCATTTAAAAAATTAATCATAATTGATTGTTTTTTTCCCATTCCACAAACACAGGACACTTCCGCGCACACATTTAGGATTTAGCGTCACACAGGACTCCATCACACACAATAAGGATTCAGCGTCAAAATATACTCCACGTCAAACACAGCAAGGATTGGGCGTCACAAAAGAAACCACCACACACAACAAGGATGAAGCGTCACATTGGAATCTCACATCTCACTCTAAAGAATCAGAGTCATAGAATTTCACGGAACGAAACAGTTCATGGATATGATCACATGCAAAATTTTATGTATTAAACAGTGAAGAATTTTCGATTTTATGGGAGATTTCACTGGATTAGAAAATGAACAAGACAAACCGTTTTGGGAAAAAGCATATAGGATCTAACGAATAAAAATGAATGTCTGATGAAAATGGTGTCTAGAGCAGTCTGGCAGAGACGGATCCGAGTTCCGGGTGTATGTGTTGTTCTACACATTTCCTACGTGACATCGGACCGAGTCTGGATCAGTGATAGAAAAATATCGTCTTAACAAACACAACGGGCGATATACTGCATCACCTGACAGGTATTGCTGATTTATGGGGCGTCCACACCGTGAACAGGGACGGGAAGTTGATTTATATAGACATTGAGTACAACATCCACAAACTGTCGATAGAAAACAATACAAATATCATATTTATAAAGCACACAGCGCCGTGGGAAGCATGGAGTGTTTACAGCTCTCCCTCTAATGGAGACCTGCTGGTCGGGATGCGTCACACTTATTCAAAGACAGGTAAGGTCAACCGTTACAATAATGCAGGACAGCACATACAGACAATACAACACAACGACTCCGGTGAAGATTTGTATCTTCTGCCTATCTATGTCACAGAGAACCGCAATGGAGACGTCATTGTGTGGGACTGGAAGCTTGGTGCTTTAGTTGTAACGGATCGTGAAGGGAGACATCGCTTCTCCTTCAAAGGCGAATCAGGGTACTCCCTAAATCCACGTGGAGTATGTACAGACGCTCTCTCACGCATCCTGGTGTGTGATACTTATGCATTTGCTGTAGGGTTGCTTGACCAAGATGGTAACCTTTTGTCTAAGGTGCTGACGGCCCAGGACGGTCAGCGCTTCCAATGTGGCCTTGGTTACGATGACAGAACACAACTACTCTGGGTTGGTTCAGATTTCGAAAACATAGTGGACATATACAGACTTACATACAAGGACTCCCTGACAGGTAAGTTATACAGTGTTTTATTTATCTGTATAGACACTCACAGTAAATTACACCGTGCTTTGTAGGCGTTGGCATGATATAGAAACCTCACTTAATTACTGGCCCTGAGAATGAAGTAAAAATCTTAATTTCATGTCCTTCACCGGTTTATGGTGACTTTTCTACTTTAAGTTGACATTTCGAATTCAAAGTAAAACAACAAACATTCAATTAATCAGTCAATCCTTTTGGTACAAAACAGTAGTATCACAGTATCACCAGATACTTCTGAATCAATGATGAGTTCGAAACGAGTCCTTAAATAGAGGTTCTTAACTTCCTGTTTTACGGCGAAACATACCGGCATTTGCTTATTTTAGTAACATGCTGATTTCTTTTTAGCAGGCTTGCCGTGTAGTTCTTCTGAAGATCATAGCGAGCACGACTGTACAGGTGTAAGGAAAAGTTTAGAGGAGATCCACATGAAAGGTATGGAATTATAAGTATGTAATCATAAAAAAAAGAAGGAAAAGTTTTTCGGAGATTCACATCAGTACATAATCATAAAAAAAAATAATAACATTTTAAACTGTATGCTTTTGATATCTTATGTTCATGGATTAGGTTAACGTAACACTTTTTTTACATCATGTACAGAATGATCTATAAGGTTAAATTGTTATAGAACTGCGACATTGGGGGTATCAAGGTAGGATTTTCTTTGAAAACCCTTTTTGAATTTATCTCAGAACGCCATGTCTCTGATAATTCATAGTGATATATAAAAAGAGATATATTTCATAATGCAAGACTAATTTATTTCATCCAATATTCGAATATACCGGTATTCGAATACTCCTGTCGGATATTCAAATTTAAATTATTGACAATTGTGAGATCCCTAATATCAACCACTCCAGGCAGGCGTAATGAAAGTACTAATATCAACATGACACTGTGTCTCTTTACAATTGCAAATTGTGCTCTTCTCTATTAATGTGAAGGGTTTTCAGAAATCAAGAAAATTAAATAAATACATCGTGTGATGATTTACTCTTTCAATTCGTAGGTGGAGATGCAGTATTGATGTTGATCCTTCTTTGCCAATCCTACAGAATCAATCTGGAAGAGGAATACTGGATTGAGAAGTATAATGTTGTCGCTGAAAGATTCAATTTCAAGAAATATGACAAGGAATCCAGTCTTGTCAATTTAGAGAAATACCGACCAGTTCTAAAACTTGACCTTCCTGTAGTCAGTTTTTCAAGTGATTTATTTAGGCACGCCAGTTTCTTCAGATTCGCAGGCGATCCTAATTTTGTGGATGTTTTTCTGACTTGCGCAGAAAAAGACAACGTATCTGAGTATTGTAGATCATGGCTTTACCCGAAGAAGGACGGGGAAATAATTTGCTGGTTATTGCCACGACACACAAGACAATTGATAGACAGGCTTGGGGAGGATATTTATACACACCCAACACTTGACGACCCTATTGTGAACGAAGTAGTGTTGGGCTAGAGTAAGTGTTCTTTTGATAATGTAATCGAGAACGCTCAGCTGTTTTAGTGTCAAATGTGAACACAGAACAATCCAAACGTTTGTGAACTTTTTAGTCAACCCCTGAAATCATCAGATATTGTCGTCAGCTAACGCAATTTGTAAAGGGGCAGTGGTCAACATGTATTGTTGAGTGATCTTATCTAATTAGAATCGTATGTTTAAACAGGGTCATATTTGGACTGATTATAATATTTTGCATCATTAGAAATTTGTAATAATGAAAACCTTTTCAGCCGATTCATTGGAGGAGGTGATTCAGAAATCACATATTAGTTTCTTTTAGATTATACATGTATCTAATTATACATAATCAACTTTTGTCACAAGGTTATTCAAAACAATGTACAACCTGAAGTCGTCAAACCTTGTTGGTCCGTGTCCTTTGAGAAACAGTGTTATGACTTAAAATATTTCTCTGTACTTATTTGATTTCTTATGTCAGCAGGGTATGTTACTCCTCCATGGAATCTGATTCTAATTCACCCTCCATAGCATCCAAACAAAACTCACCTCCATGTCATCTGATCTTATTTCTTTTGTTCAATAAAAAAGTATCTTTATTTCATTCATTATAGTTCAGCAACCCAGCTGTTCCCAATACATTATCTTCATGTTGCTTATATATTGCCAGCGATTCTTATATGTTTCCATGAATGTTTTTTTTAATTTTAACTTTTTAAATCTTGATAGTAATTGTACGTCACATTGAATGGATCTACGAATTAGAATCCAAATCCATTATATTTCGAGAACCTTCGGTAGGATGGTCAACAGTAAAAATACAGACAAAGGAGATCTTTCCTTACTGAATATGGGAATGATTGTCATCTCCATATTTGTCTGGGCCGAAAATTAGTCCAAGGATCGGATTTATTAGTAATGTTTTACATTTTATAACAGTTTTCAAAATAGTATTTACTGATGGTTATCCAGGAGGAAAACTTGTTATAATTACAAATTAGAAAAGAAATGATTACCTTTTACCAAAATTGTTTTTAATGTAAGGGTCAAAGGTACAGTATTCCAAGTAAGGTCAATCTGGACACAAAATTTAATTCTAATGCATTGTGTTATTTTACTGTATCAAAAAAAAGTTAAAGAATACAAGTCATCATCAAACGACCATGTTTGTCGGTTTGAAGCCATGTTGGTACCCCGTTTGCATGCAAATCTAGTCTAATCTGACAAAACATAAACTTTCCTAAATGCAAACATGCTCGCTACTAAGTATATTAAGAATTGTTAATGACCTAGTTAACTAATAGAATCTATCATAACGTCGAATGTTGACTAACATTTTTCATACAAACTCTTAAAACATTGTTTTCACACTAAGATATATACGGATTTTTTAAGTTTGCACGATCATAAATAATTTTTGAACAAATTCGAATCTCATTCACCAAAGGATACTTTAATGTGCAAAGTTTGGATAAAATTGGTCCATCGGATTTGAATAAGTAATATTTTTTTCTTTGATCGACGTATCAACGAAAAAAAATTGGACAGAAAACGTTCTCATTAAATGCCCCATCCTATACGTCGGTCAAAGAAATATATTACAATTCATTTCTTCAATGAAATATGGAATTCTTTTTTGCTGAGGGTTTGGTGCACAATGCATTTGTAGCCATCTCATATGCTAATATTTGTAGTTACACTCTACTTCGGAAATTCGAGGGATTAAAGCTTTTTTTTTTAGATATAACCTAATTTCATTTATAGAGAATTTTATATGTTGACGGTGCGACCGTTAGGGCGAGCGCAGATACTTATCCAGTTTTCATTTAGATCCAAACCGCACGTGACATTCGGTGCGTATAAGACTCTGACGTCATATGATGTCGTTTGCATGCCGCTTTACAAAACCGAAGTCTGAACAGGGCTGATTTTAATCAGTGTACGATAATTTTGTGCAATAAACAGAAAAATTCATAAAATCAAGTCATTTTTCTTTTTCTTTTAAATTAAATACATCATGATTTTTATACTTATTTGGTATTCTATGTCTTATTTCCTTCAAGAATTCTATAATGCATAATGTAAAAGGATTTTGCTATCATTGCAAGACATCACAAATCACTTCTTTTATCATGTCATGCTAATAGGCATTAGTATTTAAGGCTATATTCAAGAAAATCTTATTTCTCTAAAACAGTACTTATTTTTTTTTTCTTTTACAGGGTACAAATGTAAACTTTTATAAGACTTTTTTTTAAGACTTCCAAAATCCTCGAATCATAAAGATGAATAAAATGAAAATTGTTGCATGAAAGAAAATATCATTTTCAATCTAAATATTGATGCAATTTAAACCAAATATTAATTTTTGGAGTTACATGATTGTATCATTCCTGGCTGAGGATCGGATATCCTTCAAATGGATGGATAAATAGTTTTAACACAGATTTAACGCCTTGTTTACACAAACACAATTTTGAACAGCACTTAAATTTTGTTTAACATATTTTAAATGTATATTATATTACAATCCTTTCAAATACTAAAGGTATATCTAAATCATGTATTACCAAACTAAAACATTTCACAGTAATAAAATTACTCTATACCATGTTTGGTAAACATCAAAGGATCAAAAGTTAATTTGAAGGTCCCAACGAGTGCCAAACAAAGTGATCGGGGTATACACAGGGACCAGTAAGTAAATGTCAATATAATCAAGTTCCAGCATCCAATGACGAACCTTCATGTAACTGATTGACAGGTCTACCCAGACCAGGTATTTTTGAAGGCGGTGCTTAAAATCTCTGAATGGGCTTCGTGTTCTCCTATAAGTTCTTGTTATCGATTTCCAGTTTCGCGGTATATCTCCAGGAGGAGATGGTAGCACGAGAAACTGTAAAGAGAGAGGCCATTAAACAGACATACGAAGACCGCTCATATTGAAGTCTCTATGTGTATTTAGAGAGTTTCTGTAGGAGTTTACAATTAATCCGTCAACAGTCGAGTATAAAAAACAAATAATTTTCGATTCCTGAAAAACAATTGGCCTGTTATTATGTATTTATTTTCTCTGAAGTATTGAATTTGTTTAATTCCTGGAATTCATTTAGTTGCCTTTTTATTTAAATGTAATAATGAATTTTGTTTTTATTGCGTATTTCATATTTTCCATGTAAAGGCAATGTTTTAATTTCAAAAGAAGTGCTCGAAATCCATAATCTTTTCTTTTAATCTTTATTTAGTTTAGGCAGATTTATATCAAGTTATCAAAGTATGGCAAGTTCTAAATAATTTTACTTTAATGGTTTTGACAATTCTTCCTATTCCTGGGTTAATAGAACAAAATTACGTGAACATTTTACCAAAGTGTCACACTAGAAAAAAGTAATTAAATATTTTATTTGATGCGCTGACGAATTTTCTATTGAAAAATGAACAGAATAAAATTATTCCTCTACAACTGAGCTCGTAGAAACCTTCAGGATATCAAAAAAGTATTGGACGAAAAGAGATGTACCCCTTATGCAAATAACAAATTGTTTCTTTCAAAATGAGATAATATAGCTCATTCAAATAACCTGCTAAAATTCTTATTCAAAATTTACACTCTACCAATCTCATATAATTATTCTGTTGTTTTTTCAAAAAAGAAATGACTTCTCATACATTACTATGATCCCTATTTTCTGATAAAAGCAATTTTTGGAAACGTTTGGTAAAATTTTTATGATTAAAAATAAGTAAAGATAATATTCTACAAAATTGTATTGTCATTCACGAAGTGTGCTTTATGTCAATTCAGTTTTAGCAAACACACTCTTCATTATTACTCGTCCCATCTTGATGTAATTGCTTTATCCCACGAAAGCTCAGGTTTCCGACAATTTAAAAAAATGTTTAAGAGAAAACCTCAGTTGTTATTCTATTGTATAATAAATTTTTTGAGAAATTTAAGAGAATTGTTGTATATTTTTCATTTTTGTTCATCTTTTCATTTTACGCACATTTTGCAAACACCAACAAACTCTTCATGCTTGATGTCTTAAATTCAGAAAAAAAAATCAAATTTTCTTTAATAATAATTCTATCTCAGGAAAGATTTCAGCTCTTGAAATAAATTTCAGAACTTAAAAAATCATAGAAAAACATTTTGAGCTATAAACATCATAAAAACATTCTCATTTTTTGTCATACTTTCATCATATCACGTTAAACTGTCGATTTTTCCAGGGGTTTCAATTACTTTGAACGATAAATTCACAGTTGGATAAAAAAAATCAGAGAATGTGATGACTGCACAGCTTGTATCCAGGTAACTGTGGTTGAGAAGCAAATGCTTTATAAGTTGTTTGTGTAATAATTAATAAAGAAAGGGCGTATTAATCAGGTTTACTGATTTTATAGCCATGGGTTTTTCTTAACTTGAGACAAGCAATCGTGGAGTCCTTACATAAACCACGAATTCCTTTGATATTCTTGACAAAATCAAAAATACAAATATAAGTAATAAACAATGATTATTTAGTGAACATGGCATTATGGATGGCAATAACCAACTTCTATTCGTAACGGCTTGTTCACTGAATCACATTGTGTATTTTTTGAATATTTAATAGTAACCACGAGCTGGTAAAAAGATTTCTAAATTTAACAACAATTTGGCAAAATGTACTACATATTTATCACCAACTGATTTGTCAGATGGCTTATATTCTATAATATATTATTGATTCATCAACAACCATTTGTCCGAAGGTTTCTACCTGAAGGGTAAATAGTCTGTCCGCCTGTTACGCTTTTGGGTGCCAACGTCTTATTCGAAACTCCTTTAAACCACAAAATAAAATTTAACGATACTTTCACGTACCCTTTGTAACTTAGTGCCACTGTACACCTCTTATTGTACTTTTTGATCGGACAAACATTTGGGTTTGTCACCGCAAAATATTGACATAGCCTTTTAATACATATATAGAACTTACAATATTATGACTTTTACGAGACTGTTGCTGATATTCTTGCTTCATCAACTTAATTGTCAATAATTTACCTCGTTTTAGAAATTGTACATTCTTGGAGAATGCTTTTGTGTATTCAATCAATTGAGAGATATAAACCCAGGATGTAGGTAATGAAGGTATATTAATATAAAGGAAAAGAAAATTGACGAGTGAAATGTGTATGTC